CTAACAACAATACAAATATACCTCGAGGGAAAGGTAATACAAAGAAAAGGAACCCATAGGTTTGAAGGGATAACACATGAAAAAACCCTCTAGAGTCCCAATTAGGCAACTGAAACAGTTGTTTGGAATGAAGAATATGAAAGGATCATAAAACGAGATAGCACAGGAGTCAAAAACCTTTGTATATGTAGAAGAATGAAAGGGAGCAGTAAAGGATGCTGTATATAATGCAAGGTAGAAGCCTAACATTTCAAAAATTCATGTACAAAAACTTGAAACTATGGAGACTGTTAGATGAAGTGGGTTGATAGTTCACCGAAGACAACACTGACAATATGCAGTCCATTTTTATAGATAGATTGCCATAGTAAGTTGATGGAGGATATAGTCAAATAAATGAAAACTGTAGAATTTAAACATGGGGTGAAATGAATCATAGACAAGAGTCTGGGTAAGAGATGAATAGGAGGAAAGGCATACAAATGGAATCCTGTCCAGTCTTGACTGAAAGCATCTATCATCAGAGCTTGTGAATGTGGAATTGGAGACCAGAACTATAGGCTAGTATTCCAATGGATTGCAAAGGTGTCTATCATTGGAGAGCCAAACTGAGAACAAATCCATTGAAAGACCACCTGATGGAACATCCATGCTGGTGGAAGAATCTGATGGAGTTGAGAAAGGTGATCTGCTATCAAAATCATAATCCCTGGCATACGACAGGCCAAAAGATGGATGTCATTGGAATGAGCCGAAAAAGAAGATCCAAAGCCCGAAAACCAAGACATCAAGGATGAGAACTTCCCTGACAAGAAAGATATGAAACCACTGTGGAGTAGTCAGAATGAATCATGACTATTTTGTTATGCAAGAGAAGAAGACCTGGAATCATCACTAGATGTACTGCAAAAAGTTCGAGAATGTTGATATGCAGGGTAGATTCATAGTTGGTCTAAATACCCTGGAATGCCTACCCCAGAAGAAAGGCACACCATCTATGAAGAGATTGATTTACACACAAGGAGGTGGTATCCAGACCCTGATATTCTTGTTGTTCCTGTCTAGCCACCATTGAGATCTGCAAATTGTTCCAGCAAAGAGACTACATGATCCAAAGGATCGGCATGCATGAGCAACTGGCCCTTAAATGATCACTGAAGGGATCTCATATGGGCCTGATCCAATGGTATGAGGGATTCTAGGGAAGCCCAAATCCCAAAACAGACATAACCATCCATGCAGTGGGAGAGGGTGACATACTCAAATGTCTGACAATCCCTTCCCTAGCATAAAGTCTGAGGGGAGAAGGTTGAGCTCGACTCAAAGTGTATTGAAAAACACCCCAATATGGACCATGTATGGAGTTGGTGAGAGAATGGATTTTTCCAACCTGATATGAAGTCCACCCTTCTGGCTTCTGAAAGGAGAATCTGTGGATGTTGAGTGGAAATGTGGCAGGTTGGTGCCAAAAGAAGTCAATCTTCCGAATAGCAATATGTGCACAGACCCAGAAAATGAAGATGCTGCTCAAAGGCCTGTACTATTTGGTAGAAAACATATGATGCTGAAGCAAGTTCAAACAGGAGAACTTGGAACTGCTACATCTGGTCCTTATGCAAAAAATGTAGAAATTTATGAGAAGACTCTGCTATGGGGATATGAAAGTAGGCATCTGTAACATCAAACTTGGTCATCCAAAGATCTGGTGTGAAGTGCCATTGAAGTTGAAGAAAAGATTCCATGGTGGAATGAGAAGGATGTAAGAAGAGATTGAGTCGAGAGAGATTGATGATAAGATGCCAATCTCTAATGTTCTTGGTCACCAGAAAAAGACGAGAATAGAATCCTGGATGAGTGGGATTGACCTTCTGAATGGGTAGACACTGATGTCACTGGCACCATCCCGACCTTTCGAGGTTCCCAGAGAATACGGATGGAATCATTTCTGTAAACCAATAGGACGAGGTGTCAAAGGTGGAGGCTGTGACACGTGAATGATTGATCTTCCAGAATTACCCATTGAAGTATAAGAGAGGCGAGCAGCCAATGATGAAAAAGAAAACTGCAAATGTGCCGTACAAAATCAATCTTCAAAAGTTTCAAGAAATCACAAAGAGGAGTATAACAATACAGTAGTAAGAGTTAAATGAATCTGCGAAAATGGAGATCTGTTAAGAGGGATAACAGGTTCTATTCTTAAATCCCCTAGATCCAACAACAAATCCAACTGTTGAGTGTCCAAATATACTACAGCCAAACGATGATAAGCCAGGACATGTTGTTCTGATAAATGAGTGGAGCAAGGCATAGCAATACTCTCTCATAATTGCATTGCAAACATCCCAGCATACACGGCAATATCAGGGAAAGAACTAAGTAATCCCCCAAGATCTATCTGACAACAAGGCAGGGTAGACTCAAAAGCAAGGGGGTGAATCCCCAAAGCTTCACAATCTCACGTAACTAACTGCAGAAAAGAGGCAGTAGGTGGACAATCAGATGAGCTCTCAGTAGAGACAGCTCTAGTGAAAAAATAAGCAGAAAACAGTGTCTAAATTCTTCCCAGTATATTCAGGTTCATGATGAAGAGCCAACTCTGAACCCCCGGGGAAACCTCCCAGCCCTCATGAAGGATTCCAACTCATCCAGAATCAGATCACAGACAGCCTCCACCGAGGGTGGACCCCCTCCCCCTTGACTACAAAGGAGGAATGGATGAGGTCTGGTTAAACCCCGTGCCAGAAACCTTTACACGGGAATTCATACCCGCATTTTTTTTTTTGAAATGCAAACAAAACACACCAGACTACTGTCAAAATGCTTGAAAAGAAAATGTTAACCACAAAACATAACTCCTAGTGCTAGCACTTTGTCAAGAAAAAGTGATTATATTGTTGATATACAATGTTGATATACAGTACTTGCATAATGGGTGTGTGTAAAGTTTTGCAAATTAGATATTGCCGAGGGCAGTCGAGTGGAATATAAAGACCGGAGCAAGCGAACATGATGCTTAGATGGCAAAGATGAAGATCAAGAAATAGCTATAAGTGACAGTGGAAATATGTATGTTTTGGAACAATGCAGATCATGTACTAGACAAAGAAGGGAAATAGGCATGAAGGCAATGTCCCCTTCATGTGCTGCTGATATTTTTACAAAAAAACTATGATCTGGATAAAGGAATATATAGGTATGATGATAAAGGATATGGGAGACACCAATAGTGAAGATATCAGAACTACAATATCTACAAGCAAAAAGGAGCAAAACATAGGTCTTTAATGACAGGTGGTATAACAAACAAGTGGCCAAAAGTTCATATGGAGGCAGGGTAAAGGCATGAAGGACCACACTGAGATTCCAGTCAGGCAGAGGTATTGGATGGGATGGACAAATCAAACGAAAGGAGTGAAACTGGAGAGAAAGAATGGGAGAAGGAAATTGTGATGGAAGCAGGAGAAATGAAAGGTATTAGATAAAGCCATCTTATAGCCAGCAATGGTGGATACTGATAGACCATTGTCGATTAGCCAAATAAAGAAATCTGAAAGGTGGGGAACAGAGGGTTGGGAAGGTAAGAAACCATGTTGTAGAGACCAACACCAGAAAATGTGCCATTTTCTCTGGTAGACATTCAAGACTGAAGAGAGGACCAAATACGACAGAAGGGAGACTACCCGTGTAGAGAGTCCAAATGATCTTGCAAGGGACCAGATAAAATCCATGGGTGAAGCCAGAGTATGGTGATATCTGGATAAGATATGGCGGACTGAGACTTATGGAGTAGGAATCAGCAAAGTTGAAAAGTTAAGGGAGGAGACAGTTGATGTAGGGTGATGATTGGAAACCACAGTTGAGCAGGCCAAAATGGGGCAATGAAAAGGACTCGACATGGAGTGGTTGGACAAAAGATGAGGTAAATATAGAGGTGTAGCATTCGATTGTAATACAAAAAAAGGAGGTGGGAACAGGTTCAAATTCTGGCTTAATTCGCCTGGGGATGGGATACCTGGCCTTATTTCTGGAGACATAGCAAGCTGCATGAGAGTTTCCAATTCGCAAAGTACCAGGCCCGAGACCTCCTCAGCAGAAAGTGTGGATCCTGAAGCCACAGAAGTAGTAGGCGGATCAGCAGTGGTGAGATTTATGAATGAAGTTGTTGCAGTAACGTTAAAGTGAGGGTTCAAAATGTGGAAATGTAAAAGAAAATATTCCTCCAAAAATTGAGTAAGCAGAAATAAAATGACAACAAACTAAGTTGTAAAACACAATAAAGGTAACTGAAAATTGTACACAAAAATGAAGAAAAATGCACTTTAGAATGCAAATCAATAAGTGAGGAAAGTACTCTACAGTATGGAGGGAGTCAGCTAGGCTAGAAGGGTGTCTCACACTCCAATTGGTGGAAGGTTGTCAAATGCTTATTTGTATCCTACACCAGAGCTATACCACATGTAAACATGTGAGGGTAGGTAGGTGTATCAAGGTTAGTGGTGAGCAAAAATTGTGCATATAGAGGGCAGCACAAGTCAAGAAAACCTATTATGCGAATGGAAGGTATTGTTTCGATATTTCATCAATTTATCCAAATATTCTGTTACAAAAACACTCATAGCAACATTTGTAAGCAACAAAAATAATCTTGTTACCATGTCCTAAAACGTACTTATATCCAAGCATACGACAAATTACTTTTGCATCATTGTCATCAAACTGGTCATCACAGATTGTACCCCAAATTCCAAAACGACTAATTTCTACTCTTCCAGACAAATGATTTTTACCATTGGCAAAACGAACAAGGAGTGGAGCTAAAAACAAGAATCATATTTACAATTAGCCACAGTTTAATTAATATATGTTGCTATAAAGAGAAAGATCAAGTACACAAAATTTGCTTAATACATGTTGCTGTATAAAAAACACAAGTATCAAAAGTTGAATTAGTGTATCTTATTATATATTAAAAACCACTATTGTCTGAAATGTAATTAGGTAATAATGTTACTGTATACAAAAGATAAGAACAAAAGCCCCTATGTTTGCAAAGTTTAAGTGTTCTCAAGATAGAAAAAAAAACCCAACAATTTTAGAGTTGTATCAGGAAATGAACAACACATAAAAGTTCTTTCAGAACACATATAAATCATAAAAGAATCATATAAACATAAATTAAAACAGTAAGATATGATACTAATTCATTAAATGCAAAACATCTTACTTCACTGGTAATTGCATTATAACTGCTGTATTGTGTTTGTTTGTACTACAGTATAAAGTCAAAATTCATGATGAAATACTATTTAACATGTTCACCTTCACACCGGACTTCTGCTTCATCAGAGTTGTCGTCACAGTCATTTTGACCATCGCAGAGAAAGCCCAGGATAATACATTTCCCGTTATTACATTTAAATTCATCCTCATCACATTCTGAAATCAAAATTTAGAAAAAAATCAATTAATAGTTTTCCTAATAAATGGCATACTTGTAGAATTTATTCTTAGTTTTTAGCAGATTAATGAGCTCAATAATTATAATCTGTATTTAATGTAGTTTTTGCTTGATTACTAAGCCTGAGGATTTGAAAAATACTGGTTTTTACCTTAATATGGAATCCTTAAAGACACGAAGAAGCCTACATGTACAAAGTAATTTTAGATTTGCAAAATACCAGTGAGAAACTTTTTAGTCATGTTTTGATGAACTATCCTCATGTTTTTCTTGCAACAATATAAAAAAAGCTACTATTTCTTGTCTTCCATTATGGTTTGGTTTAAGGTAAAAAACAATGTACAGACAGCATGAACATTTCTGTAAAACAAAGCTGTTAGATTTTCATTCAAGTGTTACGATACAAATTTGTATTTTGGAAGTACATATCAAAGAAAAGTTAAAAATAAAAATTAGCAATCACTTATTTATCTCTTTATAAAACTTTAAAATTTACTTAAGATATCACACATCTTCAGTATCTTCTCATACATGAATGGTTAATTTATTTCAACAATTCACATTATTACAGAAATGTTGGAATAAGTACTAAAGAAAATGCTGAAAGATCATGTAGTACTCAAATCATTATTAAAAAAGGTTTAAAAAGTACAAGGTGTACAATTTGTGGAACATAAATAGCAATTTATATTAATAAATTACTCATGTTAGCAAAACTGAACTCTTAAAAGATTTAAGTATTCCAGGTACAATATCCACTTGGATTTCACTTGGTTCACACTCATGATTCAACATATCAGGGTTATAGAAAATAGAAAATAGGCTCTAGAAGCTTTCAAAGTGATTATGTTTGAGATATATAAATAGATTATCACTTCAGGTTTTATTCATTTTATGCCAATAAACATAAATAATAAAAAAAAAATAGTTTGTAATTTATTTCCAAATATAACATTGTTCACCAGAGGAGGTAAGTACATGAGATATTTAGAAGGTAAAAGCAAAGTTGTTATACCCTTTGGTGGAGCTCTACACTTAACTCCAGCAGCTTCATTTTCTTTACAGTTATGTTGGTGCCAACCAGAGAAGCTACAGTCTACAAGAGACTTCTCATTTCCTGTACACTGTACATCATCCATGAGATATGTGCCAAGTTCAGACTTATAATATGATCCAGTTAAAGCACTGATTGCACCCCTAATAAAACAAATATACAATGTAGACCATTCATGCGTGTTAACATCAGACTGACAACAAAATACAATTTATGCACCAAATGCATCCCAACCAAAACCAATATGCATTACAAATCAATAATAACTTTCAAAGTAATACTGATAAATAAAGATTTTGTAAAAAAAACTCACTACATATTAACCAAAAAATCTTGTAAGTGAGCATGAATTACTTTAATTACATTTACTAATTACATAAATAATATAAATGTGGTTCCCACATCTTGGGCAAAATGAAATTCCCTGACTTGTCCTAGACCTTTCCCTGACTAAAGTATTTTATTCTCTGACCATCTCATCTATGCTGGTAATGTATCATTGAACTATAACAATATGTGAAATTGCAAAACATTATTCACATATTATTTAACAAAGACAAGTCAGACTGTACGTTAAGTCACAGTTTGCTTAAATGTCATCTTGCAACTTTTCAATACAATTTGTCATGCCATTCATGAATTATGGATACTTAATCAGGACATACACAACAAAGTCAGTTTATACATTTGTTTATGATAATGCATACCAATCACACTTTATAATTTTAACTTCATTCAAACTTAAATACTTTATTCGAGCATAAACAATACTGTAGAGTTTAGCATTTGTGATTATTATATTTCAACACTTAATACATGGAAGGAACATAGTTATTTTTGTAAAATTGGATATTCTTTAACAAGCACGCTTCTAATATCACATTTATCAAAGCATTATTATTTGATGTACATAAATGCAATAAAAGTGTACAAAACTTTCAGTTACTAACTGCACATTACAATAAATTCCTATTTCTGATCTCTATGAAACAACTGCACAAATTAACAAAATCATTCACTGATCCAGAGTACCTTTTATTATTTTTGCACATAGTTGAAGCTATGCATATCAAGTTCATCTATATCAAAAGTACTGAAATATTTGAAATAATGTGACTATACACTTATTGATTGATCATGTTACAGAAAATATTTTAAGATTTATATGCAAGTTTTGTTCATTCACAAGATCACCAGATTATACTTTACAAATTAGCAAAGACCCACAAAACATTTGTGGTCAAATTAGTATCTTTATTGAAACAGTACTTCTTCAAATACAGGATTTCTAGAATAATAATAAAAAACTCTAATTGTAGACACCGAAATCTGTAAGTCCACTTGTCTTAGGCCTAACATTAGTTAAGCCTTTATTAAGTTTGGCCTATATTTCATAAAGAGATAAATTCACATTAACGTGTGGTTTTTGGCTTTAGTTTAGTTAGGGTTAAACTTTACTGTAGTTAATATTATCAATAAATAAAAATATATAATTATAATTCCAGTTTTTCATTTTGTTCTTATATAATGTTGCTTATCACATTAAATAAAAACTGCTATTAAGTAAAAGTTTTACTAAAATTACTCACATTATTTTTATTCTGGTATTGTCCTTGGATGAAAAACACTAATAAATTGTCCAAACTCAACGACACAAGCATTACGCAATCTCTACAATAATTAATATCTCCATCTAAAGAGCATACCATGATCTGAAAAGCTCAAGACCTAGTTTTAGGAAGATAAGATGAAGCCTTGTACAAAGCCTTTACACTCTGTCTAGGCAGAAACCTAGTTACTGTTTACATAATCTATTATGGCTGTGTTCATACTTCATGACATTTAGTGGTAAATAAAATGATAGATGTAGGCAAAACAATGCTGAATGCATAAAATTCACATACTGATGTGTTAAATGAATCAGAATTAACCTATATACACTGAGTGGTCACAAGTAAATAGACACCTAATTTTTCGTCAGTTAACTG